GGACGTCGGACGGCGATGAGCGTCCGGGAAGGAGCTTCTTGATCGCGACGGGCGTGCCACGGTACGTGCCAAGCCACACCTCACCGTACGCGCCTTTCAAAATACGTCACGTGCAGACTTGAGAGGACACGTGATCGAGTACCTTGCGAGAGCAGCTTGGTCCGTTCAACATCGGTTTCATCCAGGCGCCATTGAGCAAGCGCTGTCTCGGTCGCTGAGTCGCGTGCTGTCATGAGCTGCGTGTCGTCCCAGCCGGCGGTCTGCGTGTAGTACGTTTCGCCGGTGGCTTTGGGCACCTGGCGGCGTCGGTAGCGGCGGACGCCAAACAAAATCGCAACTGCAAGGACCTAGTCCATGGCAGCAGTTGGTGAGATCATTGTCCGGAACTGCTGAAGAATGTACCACGCCGCCAACAGCCAGCCCGACGATCAAGCCTACCGGCGTCGGTGTTGCCGCTTCGACGACAGTGATGGTGCGGTAGACGGCAAAGTCAAAGCGCTCGGACGCATTTGCACCTGGCAGCGCAATGTGGGCAAACACGATAAACTTGCCGGCGCGCGGAAACGTGAGCTCTGCATCAAAAAATGTGGATCCGGCCGGGATCGAAGCCGGTACCGTTTGTCGAATACGTGGCCGAGTAGTTGGCGCTAAAGTTGGCCAGCTTGTTGGGCGTGTGGTCGCGGACGTAGACGCCATTGTCGTACGCATCGCAAATGTTGTCGCCGTACTCGCACGAGTGGATGTTGGAGTGGTAAATCTCATAGACATCCCGCGACGCCGGGCTCTGCATGACAGGAAATGGCACCTTCAAGCCTACGCGACCATGAACTTCATATTGACTGTCACAAAGGCGTACCAATGGTGTTGGCCAGAATCGTCTTGGGGTTGTACGAGACGGACCACGTCACCGGCAACCCTTCGCCGACGCTAGCCGCATGCAACACGTGAGATCACGTCGCTAGCCACAAGGCATCGTACGCGAGCGTCTCGGGCGCGCTGAAGCTCATCTCGAGGCCGCAGTTGAGCGCCTCGGCTGTCTCTTCCTTCATGGCGCTGCTGATGCTCGTGAGCTTGACCGATTCGCTCGTGCGCCAGCAGTAGATGTAGTGACCGTCAAAGTTGGGCACTAGACACATCGTCCATGAGCCTCGCGCCAGTAGCGTGTCTGAAGTGTACGCGAGCTAAGGCCATGGGCGGCGGCGGCGAGGCAGGCGGCGACGATAGCAACGGCTCGCATGGTTGGCAGCAAAATTGGTGACTGATCCGCTGGGCAGAATTCGACTTGACCGATTGCTTTTCAGCCAATCACCGCCCGCTTGAATGCGTTACGAGATTGCATTGGGTGGCGCAAGCCAATCACGCGCGCGTTGCAGTTGATTTCCAAAAAGTGCAATCTCAAGCTGCCACGTCGATACCACGGGCACCTTCACACGTCGCTCTTCACAATGCGAGCACTACACCGGGAGGATACTGTATGTGGTCACCATGCAGTTGGCTCTGTCAGAGCAAAGGGCGGAACGAAGGAGAATGATCGGCATTTCCTCTGTCAAGCGTGTAACGACCAAGTCGTTGAGTCTCTCCCTCTGAGCGTCCCGACTCTTCCAGGAGCGAAGCCAATCGAAGAATTTTGGCCAATTTTTAAACTCTTTCCCGATGTCAGGGATATTGTCTTAGCTATTGTCTTCTTGGTGGCGACGCTGGCATCGTGTCGGGGCACCAGTCAACTCGAAGCTTGCCCCGTTCTCTGCTTTTCAGCTGCTGCCAACCGCAAAATAGCAACCAACGAGACGGCCAACCGGGGACCTACTACAGTACCTGTACTACGTTAGTCGGTGTTCAGCAAACGAGCAAACGTCTTCATTTTCAATTGCTAATGGCGCTAGCAATCGATCGTACTGAGGCGTGTTCTGCCGACTAGTGGCATCCACCTACCTACTACAGTATTAGTCAACGACGACCGTCCAGTCGCTCCGACGTCATGTTGCGAACGTATGATAGGTTCAGCACTGCACCGTATGCGACGCGCTTGCATACCGCAACAAATTTAGTCGAGAAGCTTCAGTTTAGTCATGTACCCCGCGTCAACCTTTCGCAGCCATGCAGGCGCCCCTGTAAACTTTGTTGAGGTAGAGCGATGGCACTACTGTGGTCTTCGCATGACGTACTATTGTCAAGATGATTGCATAACGTTAGTTATCGAGATGAATGCACATACTAGGCATCGAACTCGGCGCTTGTTGATCGTCTACGCAGGACAAGCGGCGCAGACGCGGTGGTAGTACGCGGAGCGATCGACGCCGGGTATCGCCGTGTTGTCTGGATCCCACGCCATCACATAACGTTCCCGTGTGCGCTGGGAAAACTTGGCCGCGAGCACGCGCGTCGCCGGCGTCATGTAGCTCTTGGTGCAAAACCACTTGTCGCACGGGTTAAAAAGCGACCCGTTGCCGGCCGGCGCGGCTTCGAGGAATAGCCACCCGTCGTTTGGCGACCACACTTCGACCCAGTTGTGGTTGCCATGGCTGGTGTTGCCGTGCCACCCCGGTGTGCCCACGAGCCGGCTGACAATGCCAGCGCTGCGGAGGGCACTCAATAAGACGATGCTAACGCCCGTGCAGCTCGCATGCCCGTAGACGATGGCCGACATGACGACAGATCAGCGGCGTTTGCTGGCTGCGAAACGTGATCACGTGGCCGAGCGCGCCGTCCCAGAGACCAGTGTTGATGACGTTAACGGCCTCGGCCGTGCTGAAATCACGCCACGTCGAACTCGCCGATGCGAGGAGGCGGTGAACGACTCGTGCGAAGAGCGGACGCCAATGGCTCCGGCCTTCGTTCGTCACGGCATGCGGCGGGTATGGGTTACTGTAGAGCGGCAAATGGTATACTATCGCGCGGCCCTGAAAATGGTATACTATCGCGCGATTTTGGGGCTAATCTGGAGCAA